ATGAAGGTATATCTGATTTGAAATGGAAACTGTATGGAACGATTTCAGTTTTTTGAAGCTAGTCCACATATTCAGCGTGAATCCCCACCTTGGACCACTTCAAATTTCCCTGGGGAGGATGATAATAGACATTATCAAGTTCTTCTTCATCTACACACTGGTGCTGTTCGCCTTCGGCTGCGGTGAGTGCCTTGTCCACGTTTATTTATTCATCCATCGTGTTCATTTAACTCTGTCGAACTGTTTCCACCGTGTAGAGGAGAATCTTTCACCTGAGAATTCTCGATTTTTCATATTTCTTTCTAATTAGATCCACTCGATCGAAAAACAGAGATTCTGTGGAATTTTTAAATAGAAAAATTCGTTTCGTTAGCTTTGTTTCTTTCTAATTAAATCTAAATGATCGATAAATCAAGAATCGGTGGAATTTTTAAATAGAAGAATTCGTTTCGTTAATTTTCTTTCTTTTTCATTAAATTGATATGATCGATAGATCGAGAATCAGTGAAACTTTTAAATAAAGTAATTCGTTTCGTTAATTTTCTTTGCTTCTAATTAAATTCAAATGATCGATAGATCGAGAATCAGAGGAATTTTTAAATATAAGAATTTTTGTTTCTTTCTAATTAAATCCACACGATCGATAGATCGAGAATCGGTGAAACTCTTAAACAGAAAAATTCGTTTCGTTAACTTTTCTCACGAAGAGAGACAAGAAACTTGGACAATTTTCAGGAATGAATCAACTAATGTGGTATTATGCGGACTTGGAGAAGCAGAAGTGCTACAGCATAAAGGATTTCCCTGATCTGCCTGACTTCGACAATCAGGAGAAGGCTTGTTCTATTTGGAGACGTTTCGCCAAGTATGTGCTACTCGAAACGACGAGCAAAATTCCCTACTAAAACCGAATACTATAATTTTCAAAAAATTAAAAAAAAAAAGAATGATATAATTCGTTATTTGTTAAATCTTTCCAGCTTATTCGAGACGTCACAATCGCTTTTCTGGGCAAGCTTCGGTATGATAGATCTGATGTCCTTCGATCTAACTGGAATAAAGAGCTTCACCAGATTCTGGGCACTTCTGATGTTCGGTTCTTACTCTGTAATTAACGTGATCGTGTTGCTGAACATGCTTATAGCCATGATGTCCAACTCCTATCAAATCATTTCGGTATAACGGACTATAGAAGATTTTCCTCGAGAATTTCTCATTCTATTTACAACGAATCATCTGTAATTCGTAGGAAAGAGCCGATACCGAATGGAAATTCGCCAGAAGCCACCTGTGGATGAGCTACTTCGAGGATGGTGACACTGTCCCTCCGCCGTTCAATATGGTTCCAACTGGAAAAAGCTTCAACAAGATCTTCAGTTGTGGAAAGTCTGGTCGTCAAACTAGATCTCTGATGGTACGTAATTTTATCGTTAAATTGTGCTGTATAACGCGAGGGCAGTAATTTAAGATCTGACAAAAAATGCAATTTTTAATAACACAAAATTAATTTAACAAAGAGTTACAATTGTGAGACTTTAAGCATGTGACTCAGGGACTCTATAATTTAGAGACTTTAAGCATATGACTTGGAGACTTCGTAATTGAGAGAGTTTAAATATGTGACTCAGGGTCATAAAGATTTAGAGACGAAGAAATTTTTGAATGAGAAGATTCAGGAGACTCGATTGTCAAATCATCGTTAAATTCCACCGAATTTCACCGATGTCGAGGTAATAAAATTTGTGAAAAATATTAGAAAAAGTCGAGGGAGAAAGCGTTGGCGAGACACGACACGGTGATGAGGTTACTGATCAGACGTTACGTAACCGCGGAGCAAAGGAAACGAGACGAGTTTGGTATCACCGAGGACGACGTGATGGAGATTAGACAGGATATTTCCACGTTACGATACGAGCTGATTGATATCCTTCGGCAAAATGGAATGAGAACGCCAACGATCGACAAACAGGACGCTGCATGTGAGATTTCCCTTTACTGCCCGCCATATTGTTTCCTCCTATGAAATCTTCACCTCGCCATTCGCCATTCGTTGCAAAATTTTAATCCCTTAATTATTCGCTTATCATCGAGTGAAATTTGATTTCGTTAAACTTTGAGAAAACAAATGTTCTTTTATTATTTGAACACTTAAACTCTGAATGGTGTATTTTTAATATTAATCTCTCAATCTTATCGTGTAATCGTACCACTTAAGAGGTTGTTGTAAATTTAACCTGGTATAGTATACACACTTTGCGATGCAGTAACTTTTCGTTACATTAACTCCTCGGTTGGGTAACGCGCGTATGGTTCTTCAGCGCTTTAACATGAATAATTCGGTAGAGGAAAGATGTGCCAATGGCGAACTCCTTTTTCCTCGCGGATAAGAGCAATGTAGGAACTTTTAGATGTAGAAAAAAAGAACAACGTAGAAAGTGTACACTGAGTTTGAATGTAGGACGATTACACAATACGTGAAATTGATGAAATTTCAAAAAAATTTCTTTCACCAGTATCCGGAAAGAAGGGTCGAGTGATGGAGCGCCGCCTTCAGAAAGACTTCCAGATCGGTATAGTGGAGGGCATCGTGAACGCGGTGATCCAGAGCGAGAAGGAGCCAAAGGACGTGTTCAGTCAAATCGCGAAGGCAATCGGTCGCAAGAGCAGCGGAAGCAAGAAGAAAGATTGGAACGCGATGGTCCGGAAGAATACAATTGCGAAGGATCCAATTGGTAGTACGACCGAGGCGACAATGAAGCAAACACGACGAAGCATACGTAGACATTTGCAGCATCAACAGAACTCGGATCTAGCCTCGTTGGATCCAAATCGTTTGATCGATTACAATCCGAATTTGTCGGAAGTCACGCCTACAACGAGGATCGCCTACGCGAAGTTCATGATGAGCCGAATAAAGTTGCCTGCTGAAGAAGAGGAAGACGCTGGTACGTGTATATTTATTTAAAGTAATCCTTGGTTGAATTCACGGTTAATCTCGGTTAAATTTCACTAATTTTTATCTTATCTTTATGAGTACGTAGTATCCGTAAATTGGTGAGATTTTTCTAATGAAAATGAGCCCAAACACGACATAAATCGGACTAGTTTCAGCGGTAATCAATTTAAATATACCGGGTAGTCATTTTTTACGCATGCTTTGGAAAGTGATTAGTGTTAAAACTAGTCCGATTCGTGAAGTGTTTGGACTCGTTTTCATAGGAAAATACTTCACCAGTCCATCGATACTATTTTCATAAAGATAAAATGAAAATTGGAGAAATTGAAGTTTGTTATATCGGTTGACTCGTCGCAACGCGTGCGGTATCCCTTTGAAGTGTTACCCCTCGCTTACTCTCGCTATATCTAATCACTTTCCTCGTCGATGCGTTTAAGTTTAAAGCAATTAAACATTTTTTATTTACCGTGTAGTAGTTCTCGAGTATTTTCCGTTTTCAAATGTTACACGTTACATGTAAACTGGGTCGATCGTTCGTACTTACTTCTTCCCTACTAAATCCCCCCTTTTCTTACAGAGGGCAGTAAAGAGGAAGGCGAAGAATCCGGGAAGAGTGTCAGAATCGCAACAGAGGGTCGTGCAGTGCCGTTGCTGAAGAAGAGTCTGCTGAAATCGTTGAGCGCCGGAAGCATGGACAAGTCTAACGAGAAAGGCGGCTTGACCGAAGGAAAAACAGAAGTGAGAGCACCATCGCCGATTCCAGAAGATCCAAGAGAGGACGACGCTGGAAAGTCATCTCAGGGGAAACCTACTCCTGCAAAGAAACCTGCAGACTCGAAACCGCCGGCGAAGAAAGAGGAAGACGACAAGAAGCAGCCCGCGACTGAAGAGGAGAAGAAGAAGAAGGAAGAAGAGGAGAAGAAGAAGAAGGAAGAAGAAGAGAAGAAGAAGAAGGAAGAAGAAGAGAAGAAGAAGAAGGAAGAAGAAGAGAAGAAGAAGAAAGAGGAAGAGGAGAAGAAGAACGAAGGAGGAGAGAAGAAGGAAGGTGAGAAGAAAGAAGGTGAGAAGAAGGAAGGAGGAGCTGGAGGATCGAAACCTGGGCCAGCAGAAGACAACGTTCCGGTAGCAACGACAAAATTAAGGGGAAAATCGAAGGCCACTGGACAGATAATGGGTGGATGGATCTAATTTTTTGTATAAAACATTCATTTTTCCAATTTGTCAACGGTGAAGAAACATGTTGGCTGATCGATGATCTATGATTTTTTCAAGACGATTTTTTCTTTATTCTTTGACAATCAATTTCTTCCGAATGATTCACAGCTCTATATTAATCGTTACTTTCGACGATTACGTACTTACACACGATCAAGAGTGACCAAAAAAATGAAATTTCTTTCTTCTTTTCGTATTTTATTCGTTTATTTTACGTTTCTTCGTTGGTAGTTGTAATTTTTGAATGGTTTATCGGACATTAGTACAAGAAACAGTACGAGAAAGGGGACGAAACGAACAATATTATAAGACGGTCCTTTAAGGACATGCGAAACATATTCATACACGAGATTCATCGATTGATTCATGTCTTTTTATTCCTGTACAATTAGCACGCTGCCAACGTTAACGGGGTTCCTCCAATTCTCTCAATCTCCATATTAATATAGAACCATTAAGAGGCGAATTCTTTTTTTAACGAACTTGTACGTGATAGTATTAACAATAACACTAACAATAATAATAATTCTTATTCTACATAGGAGTTTATAAAAATTAGCTCTATATGTATAGAGGTAGTAAAAAATGGAGTAAAAGAATAAATTAATCGTGACTTAAAATTAACACCAGACATTTCGAGTTATTCTACCTTTGTCATGTCGCACATTTTCCACATAATACTGCTAAGAATCTGTAAACAAAAATTCCATCTGATTCCTTCGTAATTTTCTTCCAAATCTGTCATCTTTCCTTAAATTATTTTACAACCATTTTCTCACTGTTTTCCCTTTTTCCTTTTTTTTTTTTTATAATGATCAAGCAAAGTTTCTCATCTTTCCGCCTGGAATCGTTCAAACCTTGGAAATTTTATCGTTTCGTACCTTCGTTTGTTACTCGCGCCGCTCGTCTCTTCGAATCTCACGTCCCTCTTCCTCCTTCTGTCCATTTTATCCTCCTAATCAATCACCAAAATATTCACGTTCCTATGCTTGCCAAATTATACGGCCGCAAAATGCACGCTCAATTCTCTCATACCTCGACTAATTCACCGATCAGGAATTTCTTCAGTGCATGCCTCGCGTCCGAAGAATGGCCGAATTCGTCGAAACCACGTGTTGCATCCTGTCCCGCGTACTCCTCCAACAGTTCCGGTCCGCCGGGATGCTGAAATCAATTTGGGAAATCCAGCTTAACACCGGTGATTTTTCCAAGTAGAATTTCCGGTGAAAAGAGTACCCTTTGATTCGAGGCTCGGAGAAAATAGAGAAGTTTAATATACTATCGATGCTTTTTTCTATAATTTAGAATTCCTCATTTCAGTTATACTTTTCTGCTTTCGATTATTTCACTTTTTTTCGAATTGTTCGGAAGTTTAATACTATCGACGCTTTTTTCTATAATTTAGAATTTCTAATTTCGCTTCTATTTTCCTACTTTCGACTGTTTCGTTTCTTTTTAAAATTCTTCCAGAACTTATGCGCTTCCTGTGCCACGAAAAGTATGTAAATTTGCATCTCTAGTGTGTTAAATATCTCGAAAATTCTCCTTCGACAATTTCATTTACATCTTCTTTCCCTTATTCCTTCAATTTCTTCATTTCACAGAATCGAAATTAATACAATGCAATTGTAGGAGATGAGGAAAAAGCGGAGGAAGCAAGCGGGATTCCCCGGCTGATAAAAGTCGGGACTTTACGATTACAGAGGAGGATCTCCGGTGATTTCCTCGTTCTTCTTGCTTCTTTTGATCTTCGTAGAGGTCCTTAATTTATCTATAAACTATTTCTCGAATTTGCGATTTTCTTAACCCATTTGTAATCAATTTACTCTTCCCTATTTACGCTAATATAAACGCTAAACGCTAGATTTCCATATTTCTAAATTAAATTTCGACAGATACTGATATTTTCCTATACGAAAATTTAATTTACCAATGTTAATTCAGTTTACCGATATTTTCCTATATGAAACTTTATTTCTATCAATTTTAATTCAATTCACAGATATTTTCCTATGTGAAACTTTATTTTTATCAATTTTAATTTAATTTACCGATACTTTCGCCTATATAAAAATTTAATTCAACTAATCTCCTCCCTGTTTTCCACTGTCCTACCTTATTTTTGTACGTTGTCACGTCGTAAACTTTGTCATAGATCACGATCCATAGGTTCCTCCCGTTTCTTCCATCCTGTGTCGCCACTTCTTTCAACGCGTACTGTTTCAATTCCGTCATTTCTTTTACAGACGAAAGAAAATCTCCTAAATCTCGAAACTTCAAAGAAAGGAAAATTGTGAAAAATCTCGACTGTTTAGACTTCAAACCGCGATCTATTATATATGAATCCAGTTACCGCGAGAGTCGAGAGTCGAATGAGCTGATATGATCCAGCACGGTCGTGATATTGAACTAGACCAGTGAAAATCTGCCGGATAAAAACGCAGACGTGATCGACGCCGTACACGGAGATAAACGAAGATACCGCGTGTCACGTTCCTCTGATTAGCAATCGGGAGTTTCAAGAGGAAAAGACCCGTCACATGTTTATCAACATCGTAGGAAGTCCCATCATTCTGTACCATTTTTTCTCCCCAATAGTTCAAAGTTGAGTAACGATTTTTCAGGATCGCTGGTCAATTATAGCGAACAGCTTGTTGGACTAGAGGAAGTTCTCTAGGTTACCGACGCACGGGTGCTCAGATGGTATGCAGCGTCACGTGGGACGCCTCGGTTGACTGTTCAATTGTTCTTGGAGAGAGTCGTACGCAGCACGTTTTCTTTTTCGTGTAATTGGACCTTCGTTCCAATATATGTTTGCGCTTGAGTTATCACCGTACAAGTGCGTCTTGTTACTTTTCCCCGCACCAGAACCTCGCGCTTAACACAGTCGATCGAAGGAGAAAGGAGAGACAACGAACCGAATGGACATGTAACCGAATGGAAAATTCTGATTTTCTGTCGATCGTTCGTGTTGCAACGAGGTAAGAAACACATAAGGAACGTTTGTTTCGTGACTCGATCGTGTCTGACTATGTGAAATATTTGACGAATTATTTATCAACAATTCTTCTTTTTCTTTATCAGAGAAATGAACCTACTGTGAAAGAAAAAACTGTGCTTGATTTATAATACGGTATAAGTGGAGTCTCAAAGTGCGAGTAAAGAGATTATCGATAGGCGATCGATATTGGTACGCTAATCCGAAGATTTTGATAATTGTCGATTAGGCGATTAAATTCAGGTCGAGATGCACTCGTCGATACAACGTCGAATTCGACGATAATTAGATGTAATATAATATACGACCCGTATAATTATAGAATGAAAGATACATATCGACGATAACGCCGAGTTGATTAAATTGGACCGTCGAAATTAATCGGATACGGTTTATTGAATTACAATCAGCGATGCGAGAGGAATGGCAAAAACCGAGGAAAAGGGAATAACATTCTTCACTTTCAACTGATAGCGCAAGAAACTAGGGAAAATGTCAAGAGTACGAGATAAATAGTTCGTTCCCCGACGATATTTTCGTCGATCAACTTTTCGGTGTTTTTTTCATTTTTTACGATTATCAACGATTTCCGGCGTTAGTTCCTTTAATTTTGTGACGGAACGTTGCTCGAAGGAACGAGTGTTTCGCGAAAGGAAACGAGTGTGGTGTGCAAGGGCGAAATGAATAGACCGTGAAATGCTGTAAAACAGTACCGGTGTATTGTAACACTTTGTGAAATACACATTGCACAAAGTTATCTTGCGATAAATCGTTGATTTTTTCTTTTATAAATAATTGCCTTTCAAAGCTGCTGTTCTAACACTCAGAACGCCACTTTCTCGCAAGTCGTTCGCTACGAATTTCAGCCTTGGAGAATATCTGCATGGCCGAGAAGTGATCGAGTTGCGCTACTTGCTGATTTGGAACAATTTCGAGCGTCTGAAAAGTGGTTGAGCCGTGCTACTTGCTGATCTCGCAAAGGTTCGAGGGGTCTCAGAGATGGTTGAGCTGTACTACTTGCTGATTTCGCAAAACTTCGAGCGTCTGAGAAATGATTGAGCTGTGCTGCTTGCTGATTTCGCAAAAATTCGTGCGTCTGAGAAGTGGTTGAGTTGTACTACTTAGCGATTCCGACGAGTTCGAGCCTCCGGGAAAATGGTTGACTTGCACCACTTACTGGCTTAATTCGAGCGTACGAGATATGGTTGAGATTACTACTTAATTACGTCGACCTCCATTCACTTCATATTCTCCTAATACAAAATCAGAATTTTCGACTTTCGAGAAATTTTAGGTTAAAATCGACTTTGCAATAGGCGAACATGATATGGTAGGAGGTCGATCAATGACGTGATTTTCCAGGAATTCTCGAGTACATTTGCACGCGACGACAATGTGCAGCGAATTTCGAAATCTTTGCTTAACTTTCGTAGTTTGCGCTCGAACTTCGGGATTTTTTCAATTTTTTCGATTTTAACGCATTCCTAATGGTTTTCCGGGCTTGGTCTATTCAATTTTGCAATGAGATATTGTTTAAGCAATGGGATTTTTGCAAAAGGAAATGGATTTGGTGTGTAAAGGAGAAATAAATAGACTGTAAATGTTAAATAAAAATTGTAAGCAATTTCTAAATAGCCTACTGCGTGCAATTGTTAATTCAATGCGAAATTCATAAATTCAGTTGTTTCATCAAGTTAAATGGTCTAACAAATATCTTTAATACTTCTGATAATTGCAAACTACTATTTAAATTGTTATTTACCAATAAACACTGATTATTCTATAATTGAAGTACTTTAAAATAAGACAGAAACTGTATTTTACTGTCTACATTAATTGGTAATGTTAAAGCAATTAAAAATCGATTCCAATTATCAATTAAATATAATAGGAATATCTAGGACAGCAACAACGAAGAGATAGAAGGAAACGAATAGCGGTAAACAAGGGTAGCACTGTAGAAACGAGTTAGATAAGGAAGGAAATAGGGTTAGACGAGAATAGCATTAGAGAAATGAGTTAGACAAGGAAAGGAATAGAGTGTTAGACAAGGACAGGAACTTTTCAAGGCGAAAATAACGCCATCTCGCGTTTGGTGACGCGAACTACGACTTTTTAATAGGAACACAGAATATAAACAGAGGTATTAGACAAGGATAGCACTAGTGTGCGAGAAGGACAGAGAGAAAACGCTTCCTATTGGCTGGCGGGCCTCTGACCTCCGCCAATCAGGCCCTAAATCACATCGAACGGTGAAAAATCATTAATAACTCAATAATTACGATGATTTTGTGAACTTTTAGAATTGAAGAATGAAGTGTGGACCTTCAGCAACTTTCACATATAGTTTCTAGTGCGTTAAACCCTCTCAATAATTAGTTATTAACAATTTTAGTACGTGATGTCGGGAATGATGCCGTTTATGTTTATATACGTTTACGGCTTTTCAATAATTTCAAAGCTTTATACTAAATTCTCATGCAACTTACTGTATGCATCTGAAAGGTAACTCCCTCGGCTACATTCTCATATAATTTCTATTAACATCTCTCTTGTGGTTTGATTGTTACATAATATTCTTTAGGCGAGTATTATAATCGTCGCATTCAAACGTAACACATTTTCGTTATTTCAATAGAAATGCGTGATTAATTATGCACTTTCATGCGTGTAGAATGTAGAACGGACTTTTATTTATATTCCCCAATCATTTTGGTAAACGTAAGTGATGTGGTTTATTAGATATTAGCAATTGTTTATAACAGTTGACTGTACACGAGTACGATGAATAGGGGATGCTTCCAAATTATGTTTAATAACTCCTAAACTAACCCGAATATGTTAATAAAAATGATATGAGAATGTATTCAAAGGAGTTCTCTTTTAGAGGAATACAGTTAGTTGCATGGGAATTTAGCAGAAAGCTATGAAATTATTGAAAAACCGTAAAGGTACTTTACGATATGCGGTATCGTTCCCGACATCATGCACTAAAATTGTTAATAATTAATTATTGAAAGGGTCTAGTGTACTAAAAATTGTATGTGAAAGTTGCTGAAGGTCCACTCTTCATTCTTCAATACTAAAAGTTCACAAAATTATCGTAATTAATGAGTTATTAATGATTTTTCGCGAACGACGCGATTTAGGGCCTGAAAGGTGGAGCATGGCGGCCTGCCGACCAATAGGAAGCGTTCTCTCTCTGTCCTTCTCGCACACTGGTGCTATCCTTGTTTAATACCTCTGATGATATTGTGTTCCTATTAAAAAATCATAGTTCGCGTCACCTATCACGAGATGGCGTCAGTTTCGCCTTTAAAATTTTCTGTCCTTGCCTATCCCTATATCTTTCCTTGCCTGACTCATTACTCTAATGCTATCCTTATCTAACCCTATTCCTTTCCTTGTCTAACTCATTTTTATAGTGCTATCCTTGCTTACCGTTATTCGTTTCGTTGTTTCTCTTCGTTATTGCTATCCTCTTCATTCCTATTATATTCATGTTTGTATTTCATTGAATGACGAATAATTTAGAGACCATTCGTCGGTAATGTGGAATCCATTAAAAAAATGGATAAGATGGCTCTAGTGATTCCAAAACAATTATTTCACACTGTTGCGTATACATTGCATAGGCTGCAAAATTTGCCACTTCGAAAATATGGATTATTATGAATAATTACTGTACCGTTTATTTTAATCTTAGGAGAACTTTTGGATAATTTAATTCATTCTTCCTTTATAATCAACGAATGAGAAAGGTAATGAATGACAATTGACTTTACTTGTTGGTAATATTGGTATGATAAAAAATGCAGAAATATTATATTTCTTACAATATAGATATGGCTACCACTGATGTGGATGTTAATAAAATAAAGAATAATTTCCTAGCTGCATACCATATTTTAAAATTTTCCAAAGCTGACAAAGATGATACAGAGATTGTAGACATTGAACGTAGATGTCTTGCTATTAAATATTTAACTGCTAAACAATTGTAAGTCTCATCATATTATCCTTTATGTGCTATAAATAATTCATCAGGTATATAAATAAATTATATTCTACAGTGAATCTGAAGATGTAGCTGCTTATTTACTTCAAAGAAACTTGGAAGATTATCAAGATCTAATGGAAAAGAGAGATGGTGTAAATAACTATTGGAAACAAGTTAGACTACAAATATCAAAGACTACTAACAATCCACAGAAATGGAAGTCTGGTTTATGTAATGTAGATACAGCACTAAATTTTGTAAAACCTCTGCCTTGCCAAGACAATAATACTATGCCATGTCATAGAAGAGTATTCAGTAACAGGCATATAGAGAATATTATAAATATATGGAAAAATAAAGAAACAGCAGTAAGAAACAGAAAAGTCAGTACTCCTGCAACACCAAAACTTAGCCCAGGTCCAAGTATAAACAGTAAAGGAAAACTTGAGGATAACATACTGCACGAAGTAGGAACATCTTCTTTGTCATCAACTAGGTCTGTAGATGAGAATCTGAGTGTACAAGTAAGTTATAGTAAACTTCAAAGAGCTAAATCTTACCCTGTGAATCAGAAAAGTCAAAGCCCTGTACAACAAAGACCTGTTAAATTTGAGCCTAAATCATACACTAAATTTTCTAAGGAAGAATCATTTAAGAAGTTTAAAAATAATCATGAACCATCGAATTTTTATAAAAATAATGCAAAATCGAAATCACAAGTTTCTGTTCAGCAAAATGAAGAAGATTCTGATACTAAAAATAAGTTGAACTCCTTCAAGACTGCTAGAGATGAATTAAGTGTACAACAAATAAAGGCTAACAGGCCAATGCAGAAGAAAACTTTAGGTGGTAAAGCATCAATTAATTCTCAGTTTGTTTGTCCATTTAAACGAGAAAAGGAGAAAGCTCAGCAAGGTCAAGGAAATATGTATAATAATGAAACTGATACCATGGACATAGAAGATGAAAGATTAAAAAATATAGAGCCAAAAATGGTTGAATTGATAAAGAATGAAATAATGGATTCAAAGACAACTATTTCTTGGGATAATATAGCTGGTCTAGAATATGCAAAGAAAATTATCAAGGAAGTAGTTGTATATCCTATGTTGAGACCTGATATTTTTACTGGTTTACGCAGACCCCCCAAAGGAATTTTATTGTTTGGCCCACCAGGTACAGGAAAAACACTAATAGGCAAATGCATAGCATCACAAAGCAAGTCGACATTTTTTTCAATATCTGCTAGCTCTTTGACTTCAAAATGGATAGGAGAAGGAGAGAAGATGGTTAGAGCATTATTCGCTGTTGCCAGAGTTTATCAACCATCCGTTATTTTCGTGGATGAAATAGATTCATTGCTCACTCAAAGATCCGAGACCGAACACGAGAGTTCTAGGAGATTAAAAACTGAATTTTTAGTACAATTAGATGGAGCAGCAACTGCGGAAGAAGATCGTATTTTAATTGTAGGAGCAACGAACAGACCTCAGGAACTGGACGAGGCAGCACGCAGACGACTCGTTAAAAGACTCTACGTTCCTCTACCGGAATTTCAAGCTCGAAAACAGATCGTCAATAATTTATTAATAACAATTCCGCATAATCTTTCTGAAGAAGAAGTTAACAATATAGCTGAACAGTCACAAGGATATTCAGGAGCAGATATGTCTAATTTATGCAAAGAAGCTAGTATGGGACCGATTAGAAGTATCCCATTTAGCCAACTGGAAGATATTAGAAAAGAAGATGTTAGACAGGTAACACTTGATGACTTTAAGGAAGCATTGATACATATGCGTCCTAGTGTATCAGAATCAAGTTTAACGGCTTATGCAGAATGGGATGCCATATACGGAACTGGAACAGCACACAATTATAAAGTATAACAATTTTTCTATTACTTTTAATATCACAATATATTTTATAGTACAAATTTTGACAACAAAAATATTTATTAACAACGTTCGTACGTAATTGATTATACGGAACTGAATGTACTCTGAATATTTTACATGTTTTACATTTAAAATACTTGAAATTAAATTATTTAAATAATGAAAGTGTATTAAATAAACTTAACGATGTAGAATTTTTTACTGTAAGCAACAATTAAATATAAAAATTCCTCGACGTGAACCATTATATTCAACGAAATAACAGCAGTAGTGTCGAGCGTCAATTTCTTGGAGTTGGTAATGTTGAAATTAATTTTTCCAAAATCGTTTATATAATATATATGAACATTTCCTGAAAACAATAACTATTTGATACAGTTTAAGTGAGTTAGATGACAAAAATTACCTGAATCTAAACCCACAATGAGTACATGTGCATATACTAGAACTGCAGTAGGTGTACCATGTAAAATTGGAAATACATTATGAACTTTCCATTCTTTTCCACTTTCCAAAAAACCTAAATATCCATATTCTACAACATTGAGATACTTCAATACAAATTTGATATGAACAAATTTATTTAGAATACATATTCTCTTACCTGTAATACAGACAACTATATCTGATTTAAATATATAATAAGAACGAATTCTCATATTTAGTGGTTGAGCACATGTACAAGTATAATTCCTTTTGTCTTCATCCAAAGTTATATGTACATAATATCCTCCTTCCATATAAATAAGTACCTTGATTGTAACATTTTTATTTAAATAGTAAAACTATTAAATATAATTTATAATCTGTATAATCTTATCTATTGATAATCTGTATAACTTCTATATAGTTTCTCTATTATTATTACCTTATTGTTACTTGCACCAACAGCAAGGATGGTATTTCTACCAAAATCATACATTGTTCTGGCTATTGATCCTTCAATTCTTATCATATTGTTTGTGGCAATATAACAGAAACTGTAACTTGTACTATTTAATGTTTAATATTTAATAGTGGCTGTAATTATTATCTTAATTATATTTTTATACTTTCTAAATCATACCAAATTATTTTTCCATGGGTCCTATCAATAAGATTCAATGAATTAACATGCCAAAATGTTATGTGATCATTTATAGAACAAGATATACAAACAATATCTGTTCCTAAAAAGTATAAGCAATTAATTAAAAGCATTTGTGAGATTTATTTTCTAAAATTTCTATCTACCATCTCTAAGGAGTTGTACTTTTCTTATATATTCCATGTGATCAACTACACATTTTGTGCTTCTAGATAAATTGCTTATGTCATAAAAATAAACAAAACCCTCTGATGTGCCCATTGCTATTATACTTCCTATAAAAAAGATTTATTATAAATGTTAATTATAACATTGCATCCACAATGTACAAGTGTATTTCATTACCACAAGTGTCTATACATGTAATATATTCTGAGGAAGGATTTTTCAGTAGTGGTTCAATACAAGTAATTTGTGTATCACATTTTATTAAATTTTTGCATTTAATCCATAATTTGTATACCGCCATCCAAAATTTAGCATCATTCTTCTCATGAAAATTAACATAAAATTGATTTGGGCACAATGTCTCACACAAGGTAGTCCAAAAATGTTCAGGTATTTGATTTTGGCACAATTTATACCATACATCACTTTGCTAAAAAGAATTAATTAAAACTAATTACAAATTTAAATTCAAATGTTTCTAATAAATACTATACATAGTATTATAACGTACAAATCGTTCATATAAATAAATACGTGCGTACATAGACAGACCTTTAGAATTTTGTTAATAATTTCATTCCAACATTTGCAAACTATTTTCAAATTTATAAGCACCACCGAGTCGACATATATAAGTATTTGTTCCCATATTTCCGGAGGAAACATCATTGTTGTGTTCCGAGCGAAATGAATGAGAAATTATTAAATGAAACAAGATCAACAATTGATCATCAACTATCCCACTATTTGCCCATTCATTTTACAGATTTTGAATTGAACTTGTATCTGCCATCAACCTATAATAAACCATTGTTGTACCTAACCAAATTTCAAATTGCTGGATGCAATTATTAATTCAAAAATTGTATTATATTTTATGTTAAAAAGAGTATCGAAATTTATTAATTTTTTCTAAAATGTATAAAAAAAACATTATATTTCAATGTTTATTAAGAATTAAATATAACATACAAAGAATAGAAGCTTCTTTATGGTTCGGGGAAAGTGTTCCAATTTCAACACAAGATACAGTAGCAGGATAAAAAAAAACTTTAAAAAGTCAAGTGCATTTGAGTGCTGAGTGGAATCAATATAAGGAATATAGATTTGACATTAGGCCAGAGGTTTTGCCTGCTTCTGCACGTGTACGGATGAGTCGAACGTGTACAGACCTCTAACCTTGAAATTTTGAATTTTCTTCTTTCTAAAATAACAACTGTTGCATATTGCTTGATATAATTAATTGCAAAATGACGGATCAAGGTACTGATACGATTTTTCAGTTTACATACTTGAATATATTGTGTAAAATCAACTGTGATCATTTGTAGTCCTCAGAATTATATATTATATTTTAATTGTTTCAGAAATTTTACTTGTATTTATTCAAGTTAAAGATAACTTAAAAGGGGTTTATTTTAAATTCATTTCAATAAACTTGTAAATCATGAAATATCTTTTCCTACACTTTAATGTAATATTTTAATTTTATTAGGAATATTTTACATAAAATAGATTCTTTCTAATAATTTTTATTTTTCAGTCATTCCTTCGAAAGATGATTATGAGTGTGAAATGGATGCAAAAAGTGATGGTGATAGTGATGATGATAGTGGTGATGATTGGGATGAGGTGACAGAAGATTTTGAATCTATACCGTGCCTTTTTTGTAATGAAGTTACAAACAATACCTCTATGGCATTAGAACATCTTGTAGCATCACATAGATTTGATTTAAAAAATTTTATAATGAAACATTATTTAGACACTTATTCGTACATTAAGTTGATCAATTTTATCAGACATAAAAATGTCTTGCCTGATCAGTTAAATGCATTAAACATAAAAACATGGGAGAGTGATGAGTATTTAAGGCCTGTTATAAAAGATGACCCCTGGTTGATGTTTGGTGAGTATACATATAAGTAAGTTCAATAAACATTATATTTTTTAAATTAATTCATTATTTGTACATGTAAAGACATTGAAGATTTAGAAGAGAAAACAACGAAGCCTATTGCATATACAGTAAATTCTGAAAATGGTTGTGTTACATTGTCTGAGGCACATTTTGCTGAATTACAGAGAACAATACAAAGACTTAGAGCACAGTTGGAACAAGATGAATTAGCATGTTACTTGGCAAAACAGGTATTTATACATAAAACTTCTGATCTTTGTAACAGACAAACAATGTATTCAGACATGTTCATTTTCAGCAAATAGATGAAATGGTAGAAAAAGCACAGAAGCTGGTCCTAGATGGTGATTTAGATGAAAACAATACTGTTAGTCCTTCTGGCAATTCTAATTGTAATGTTGACAAAGGTTACTTTAAAGCATACAGTCATTTTGCCATACATCATGAGATGTTAACTGTAAGTAAATAAAAGTTTTTTCTTATGAAAATTAATAGATTTATAAATACTATTCTTTTGTAGGACAAAGTACGAACAGAAAGTTATAGAGATGCATTATTAACAAATGCAAATAGATTTAGTAATTCTGTGGTACTGGATGTTGGTTGTGGAACTGGCATTCTGTCTATGTTTGCAGCAAAAACTGGATGCCGTAAAGTGATCAGTGTTGATCAATCAGATATAATATATCACGCAATTGATATAATTAGGTATATACACTATTTATTAACTTCTCCATAATTAAAATTGAAGTAGAATTCCATTATATACTAATAAAATCCTTTTTAACCATAGAGAAAACGATTTGGGTGATATTATTACATTGCAAAAAGGTCGTCTTGAAGACATTAATCTCGACGAAGATAAAGTAGATGTGATTTTGTCTGAATGGATGGGTTATTTCCTTTTATTCGAGGGTATGTTAGATACAGTGATATATGCCAGGGATCACTATTTAGCTCCTGGTGGAATACTTCTTCCTAACAGATGTACACTTAGCATTGTGGGAAGTGGAGATACTAGTATGTATTTTTAAACATATCTGTAAAATATTTTGAACTTAATATTTTATTGCTTATTGAATACAAAATTATACAGGAAGATACGTCAAACTCATTGATTACTGGTTGAATGTGTATGGTTTTAAAATGAGTTGTATGAAAGCGGAAGCTGTACGTGAACCGAATCTGGAAATTTGTAAAGTCGATGAATTAATAACAAGCACTGTTGAAATTCAATCGTTCGATTTGTATAAAGTAACAAAGGATTGTGTGAATTTTTCATCGCCATTCGAGTTCAAAGTAAAAAAGACTGGATCGTTAACAGCGATCGTTGGCTATTTTGATGTCTTTTTCGACTTGGACAATCCAGTTCATTTTAGTACAGGACCACACTCATCCCCGACGCATTGGAAGCAAACAGTATTTTCATTGAGTGAGCCTATTAGCATTACAGAGGGTAGGTTAAATAAATATTTGATTAAAGATTATCGATTAACGAATATAAAATTAAATATAATGTTTTATTACAGGGGAAATTTTACGAGGTAAACTAATTTGCCGTAGACATGTTACAAATATCCGAGCGCTCATGGTTATAATCCATATTAAGAACACTAGCCAAGTTTATTGCTTAGAATAAGTCATCGACATTCGCTTTAAAGTCCACTTAATAAACGTAAGTGCCAGAAAATTAAAAAAAAACATAGGGTCCATAACAGCTTGCTGGCTATATAATACTGTTGATGACTATCATTAAAAGTTACGATAGGTTAAACGCGGTTCAAAAACGTAGGATAAACTGTTCGGTACTCGCATTTTATATGACACTACGATATTTACATTTTGAAGCCTTTGAAACGTAGAAATCATACTTAATCTCATATACATCAAAAGCTTCGATTTCTGCAATGAACGTAGATATAAACAGACTGTAAGATTTTTTTTTACGTTATTTTATGGTATTTTTTAACCAAAGATCACGTTGATTATTTCCGTAAGATATTTTGCATAAGCACAACGCATATTCTTTCTATACGATACCGTCACGATTAACGCGTACTTTACGATAGTGATTGTTTACGATTTGTGCCTTTTCATAGTCGTTGAACCTACATTTATAATTGAGCTTAGAGTTAACGTTTCGGGATATTAAGTAGTTCACGAGTAAAGTGAGACGATAGCATTTTATTTTACGGCTTCGTGGAATTGTGTAAAAAGTTTTTACAATAGTAATAAAAGAAGTATTTAAGTACATACCTGGTTGCATGAATACTTCGTTAATCTGGATAATGACACTTTAATCTAAAACGAAATTAGTCCTAATAGTCGCATGAAACTTATTTTGATGATAATTACACACAACTTTCCATATTTAGAAAACTAATCAAGTATAAGTGCAACCAGGATTCTTGTTACGCTTCTATTATAAAAACAACGATTTCGAAGTTCGCTCAATTTAAATATATAACTTAAGAATCCTACTAACAACTTCGATGAATTGATTAAAAAGAAACTATGCATGCTTTTACTCGTACATCTTTTTCCGTCGCGATACTATGTATCTTGAATTTCGATATTTAACAATTGTTAACGAAAAATCGAATCGTCCAGAATTTCTTTAAATACAAATATTTTTGCCAGCTTCCTTGCATGTGCTATTGTAGAATAAGTATCCAAATTTTATTATAAATCGTTTACGAAAATACAATCAATCGATATAATACAAATTAAGTCCGGTACTCTATCTTACATGATTTATAAACAAAATAATACAACTACTTTTACTCGATCCCCTTGAGAATTATTCTATAGGAAAGATTCAAGATGGCGTTGCATCGCTTGTAAAACTGTTGTAAGGCAATTTAATTTCCTCTTTTAAAATTGCTCTGCAGTTTGTTTAGCTAGGAAACAATTTAAAAAGTACTCATGCTTCCAATTTAAGGTATGTAATACAACTCTGGGATATAAAAAAATAAGTAATAGTAAATTTATTTGATTGTAAGTCAGGAGAATTATCGCCTTCCTTGATTAAAATATGTATACTTTTACATAAGTAAACGATCTATTACGAAATGCTTAAAATCAAATAAATCGAGAAAATCTTACAAGACTACATTGATTTACATTCACTTTGTTCAGTCATACATACAAAAGTGTGAAAAAACTTCAACATTTTTATTCATTCATACTGTTCTCACGTTATTTAAATCTAGTCAGTATGTATCACATATAATACTAGATCTTTTTTTCTTAGTCTTTTACAATTGTCGATCGCAGACTGATGCTTTGTTTCGATTAATAAAATACTTTCAATATCATTTCCGGTATCAAAATATGAATCTATAGTTACAATGTATTGATAAAGATGGCGACCAAAATATTCTTTTTCCCTGAACTATTTTACGATATATTCTGTATGTGACATTTATACAATTGATCACAATCGTTGTATTCACTTTCTGTACAATTTTTATAATGAACGAGACCCCAAAAGAATCCCTGCACAACGATAAGTAGATTAATACCGAAAATTTGGGTTGTCGGTTTGCCAACCCTTTGCATTTGGTCCAAATTGGTAAACCAGTCTTCGGCCAAGAACAGGTTGGAAGATTTTACTTTTATAATAATACCTGAAAGGAATTAACATTTTTATGTTAAACAAATGTATACAAGTTACGTAATTGTGAAATGAAACGAAGTCATAAATGACAGAACAGTTACCTCATAGCTCGGCTCAATTTTTCGTACGTCATTTTGGTGTTCCCTTTTCTTGAACCCCATCGTTTCGCTACTTCGTCGCTCTTAACGAATCGGAATTTCGCTTGAGGATAATCTTCCCAACAGATTAAACTTGGACACGTTTCTGGATTACGTAATAGGTCCCTGATGAACTCCCAAAGCTTTCCCTGACTGGTGGCTGTAAGTATCATTACGTGAATTTCATCAAGCAACAAAATTGTCGACAAAAATTCGTTCATACGAATACCTACAATTTTTCTTCTGTTTTACTATTTTTGGCCTGCCTGGTGTTCGTTTGGTAGTGGAAATATCAATACTGTTATTATCTGATTCTGCATCTATAAAAATTATGAATTTAAATAGATCATAGAATATACGGGAAAAAAGAACTATTATTCTTTCAAGAAATATAATTAAAATTTAAAGAATATATTACCTGATGTACTGTTGGAATTAATCCGCGTGTATTCATCTTCAAAAGGAGGGTGAATAGGATCTAATGATGAAGCTGTAATCATATGTACCTTCGTTTTTACTGGCTGTTAACGACGATTGATACAATAAAAACTGAGGTACAGGAGAAGTAACGTTATGCCGTGTAATCCGATATTTATTTAGTAATATAGTTTACTACACTATTATCCTCGTTATCAACATGCCGCGCAATAGTAATTACGTACATATAGTTGAGATATGCTGAGAGTGGAGTAGGTCATAGAGTCGTGCTCCATACGCGGGATCGTGATTGATAAAATCCTCTTTGGTAAAGGTAACCAGCTCATTTCCCGGCAGCGCGAGACTGTGTTGAATCATACTGTACGGTTGTCCGATATCAGATGCCGCAAACATCAACCAATTTATTGTTTCCTCTTGACACCAGTTTCTGATAGGTTTGTACGACCAACCGGTACCATCGATTTCATTATTTTCGTCACCTGTTAAACGCGTGATCGTATGACAAAATTAATACACGACAAAAATGGACAATGCGTCAAGTTGCTATTGAAATATATTTCGATTATTTTATGTAACAGTATTCACTCAAATTTTTTTACTTTCAATGTTTTCAAACATTGTACATACATATACATACTTATAACGATAGTGCCACCATGATGATGTGCAAAAATATTGAGATACTTTTTTTTTTTAATTACAAATTTTTTTCGATAATTACCGAAGTTACATTTTTTCCGAGTTGGTTCGTAACTACGCGTAGTTAGAGCGTTGGTTTTTCTCGTGACCAACGAGTCCATGTCCAGCAACAAATGATCATCGTCTTCGTGAAGATTTAGGAACGAAGGGTACACCTGCAAGCAAAACGTAACGCATGACAAACAAATCCGAAACAAAGTCGGGTTTCTACGTTAATGACCTTGTTGGCGTCTTTAAACGCCCCGTCTCTTTTTATCACACGGGACTAAAGAAAAACGAGATCGTTGCAATCTCGTTCTACCCAGAGCTAGCTTGTGTTCAAGCAAAGGAGACGAGGTATATACGTCGTGATTATAAGTGGAATATCTTCACGGAACAAGTATCGGCAACTTGCAATAAATAACCGCAGACCGTTGTTTCGAACATTTTTTTTTTTTTCCAAGTACACATTACGTGGCTTTGTACACTTTACGCAAAGTCAAGGATGCAGTAAATGATAATAACATCGCAGATTGGTGAATTAACGTGTATCATTGTTACTTAATGGCAATTAAGAGATAAGCAACATTGTCGTTTGAAGTTCTATCAATTTTCCTATATACCGAAATTTATTTTTACTATTCTTTTCTTTTTTTATATTTGTACGCTCAAAACGGAGAATGTATTTTAAGTTTTGGCTTCCAAATATGTAACGAATATGGCTACCTAAATTTTGCATCGATATATCATCACCTGTTCAACTATCAACGATCTATTTACATGTAAACGCACCTATTTTAACGCACAAGTGGCGCTACTAAATTTGTGCAGCGTTGAGTGGACACTTTGTCTTGTCTATCAGTTAAATTTTCCTACCGCCAACTGTATCCACATTCATGCAATAATTCACTGTGCCGATGCAACTGATACGATATCATTGGAAATATTGTACCGTTTCGCAGAATCAGTAAAATTTTATTATTCTCACAAATCATTTCGCTAAATCTACAAACGCATTTATTTCTTACCAAAGTGCGAATGTTCGTGTAATATCGACGATCAAGTTATCGTGTCCCCTTTGATCAGATGCACTTTTTGTGGAAATGCGACTTTTACTTTAAGCAATTATTTCTATACTTTATGTTGTACATTAAAAACAGTTACAATAAATTATTGTAACTGTAGCAAAAGAGTTGTTACATTTCTTTAATCTTTTCTGCGTTTGTAATATTTTATGACTTTTAACATTACTTTTTTCATTCAAATCTACTTTTTAATCATATTCCTTTGTTGCAACGATCGCAGTTTATTTACTAGTTCAATTTACTGTGTCATACTTTCAAGTCGCTTTAAAGCTTATCTTTAATACCATACGCGTACAAATTAAATGGCAGGATTTCCCCAAATGTTTTGCAGCCACGGGTTTTCCCTTACATAAACATCACTTGGAAAAACACATCCATTTTCTTAGAAAGTTCATTACGGAACACAAACGACGCGCCAACGGCGCAGCATAGCGAAAAAAGGCCTCTCGTACTCCGTTAGCACGTGAAACTCGTGCACTCTTTTTCCGCGAAAGACAGCCAAATAAACAAGCAACGATCCCGTCCAAAAATTAAATAACCCTTCACTAAAGCATCATTGTACAAAACCATTTTCATTCGAAATCGAAAACAACATGTGACACGAATAAATTTCTCCCTATAAATAATAACTCACCTCAGGTAAGTCAGTCCTATCGTAACTATCAAACGGATCCATTTTTCAGTTCACTCGATTTTCGAATAGCGACGATATCGTTCGAACGTAACAATATAGTGTTATTCGCGGGTGTTATCGTAGTGTTTCAAACAAACATCGAATATGTGTCACAGACTATTGCCAACAACTATTATCACAGTTCGTCAGGAATAAAATCGAAAGGGTCTGAACAGAAATACACTTCGATGAAATGCACGACGTTACGGCGATGTCGCGTAGCGCGATACTGATCACCGGTCGCCGGAATGTCTCTGACGAATACGGCGTCGCCAGGCCGATGTGGTGACGCGAAAGACGTCAGCGGGAGTACCGCGGGGACGGACAGCGCGGAAGAGCAGGTTTCAACGGGGATTTCCCGCTCTTCGGAACCGGCCAATCACCGGCGGTGTGCTTCGCGATAGCTGACGCAATAATTGCGGATACGCTCCATTGGCGGCGGTCTTCGAGATCCGGAGAATGGGAGTGCAGCCGAAAATACAGCGAATTTGACACGGTTATCCCCTGAGTAGCTTTATTATTTACGGTTCTGCAAGGCCGACTGGATGACATGCTGCGTTTTGGGATATATAGGGTGTCCTCTAAAATGTGAACGAATATTCAACTACTCTAAGGGGTGATTCACGAAAATTAGGTAGTCATAACATAAATTTTTATCTCGGAAACTATTAACTTTTTAAACTTTTTCCCTTTTTATCAAGTAGAATATGTTAATGCAAAAAAAAAATTTAATATTAACTTTGAATCTTGTAAATAATTTTGCGTTAAGTTTTTTTTTTATAAACGTTCACGGATTCAGGGGTGTAGATTTACCTTCTAAAGTTGATGATTTTTTTTTTCACACCCTATATAAACACAAGATTTTTCTTACTTTACTCGACAAATGTTGAGCCCTCTAAATCATTTTTTGTTTATTGTTACAAAGAATTTATTTGATCGTAAAAGGGATAGTATGTGTCTTGTTCAAGATTCTATTCTGTAGACTAGGTCCACGGTATTTGCATTAAAAAGTTGTTTAATATACATGTGAACGAATAGATGTTATGAAAAATTCATACGCACAACCTAAAATACCTCTTTTTTAACCATTGCGTGGGTTGGCTGTCGTGAAATAGTCGCGTTACGTTAGGGAGATTTTGCCGTTGAAATAGCTGTCTCAATTGCTCGGCGTCGATCACTTTTACGCGGTACTAGAAAATTGCACGCTTAATCCGTTGTGTATAAAACAATTCTGTAAAAATACAATCCGATAAGAGGCGATCGAATGTAATCTTGAGACATGCACCCCGTTGCATAAATGTATCTTAACTGAACGTTTTTTTTCTATTGAACAATAAAAAAGATTTTGAAACTATCTACTATCGCACGTGGACGCGTGATTATTGCAAACAGGATATGATTCGAGGGATTAAAAATACTTATCTCCGACAGTTCAGTATAATGAATCTTAATTTCACTAATTTAGGTCAATAATTTCTCTTCGGTGACAACTGTTTAATTAAAGAATAGCTGTTTAATTATCCAGATTTTCTCTTCCAAATTGGGTCACTTCGATTTAACTGATTGTAAAAAATATCTGCAACTCATATTCCTCATTTAATCCTTTACCTTACAAGTCACATTCGTGGTATAGATTTAATTAGGTAACTTTAATTAGAAGGACTATTAAATAGTAAATATATGTAATGTTTTATTGTTTTTTATTTAACGCATTTAACCACTGAAAAATTATAAAACAAGAGATTGAGAGATTTTCTCCCGTTGATCGTCGTATCTCCGAACTTCGCATTTCTACTCTCTGTCTTCACGCTTCTATAAAGAATCAGGAGCTTGCGGTTTATCCAATTGCATAAAATGTAAATCTCTGTCGAGCTTCGATTCTTTCCTTCTAAACGTCCCCCCTCCTCCCTTTTCGGAAAAAATTTATCGCCGTGCTGAACGGTACCACGAGACGGTTCGACGAACGAGATTACGAAATATTGCCAGGACGAAGAATTCGTCGTTTTAACGGGGAGTAGAAGAGCGAAATCATTGGTTATCACGTCAACGATGACATTGAGCCGTTTGAAGATCTGTCAGAGATTCTCTCTTTTTTTTTTTCTCTCTTCCTTCTGTTTCCACAACAACGTTATTAATAGAAACGCAGTGTCCGTCGCGTAACTCTCGATAGATCATGGACTGGATAAAGCTTGTGTATACCCAGGAGAGAGAGAAAAAAAGAAAAAAAGGGACACTTCGTTCAGCAGCCAGCCAGCCAACAGCAACATGTTCCGTGCGCATACCAAATTTTCCAGGAATGTTGTGTTACGTTTACGCACGGCGCATACCTGTTTTACGTGTTTTACGAACGCTGGAGATATTTGCAATATCGCGTAGAAATTGCATCCTTCGACTTACGTGCGTATATGTTGCAGGTGTTCCGTAAGAATATTTTTCAACGAATCGCTAATGCATCTAATTCGTACACTTTGTGTGACCGCTCGTGATAGGTTGGCGCTCGAACATTTTACTCAATTCTCTGGTACGTCCCCTGCAAAATGCAATAATTCGAAAAAGCTCAGACACTGGCGACGCCTATGGACTCGTTTATTTATAGTACGCCACGATGTCTCGACATCGGAGTGTAAACATGTCGGTACTACCCATGGTCTTCATTTTATTTTACGATGTATCTTTCTTTCTTTCTCTCTTCGTTTTTCCCCTCTCCTGTTTCTTACTTTTTTCTCTCTTCTCTCTCTCTCTCTCTCTCTCTCTCTCTCTCTCTCTCTCTCTCTCTCTCTCTTCTTCTTTCAATTACGTTTCCCCGTCGGGAAGAACACGGTGTCTTTATCATAACCACAATCCATGAAACTCCTAAAGATTACTAATGGCCGATTCGAGGAACTGCGAGCGCGTCGAGGTTCGATTTCATATCGACCGTTTCGAAATATTGAAGAAATCGATAATCGAAGGGTAAAGAGAAGAGAGATGCGAGAAGATGAACAAGCGTTAAAGTAAAGAATAAGTGAGGTTAAAAGATTTTTGAATTATGATTGAGGAAACTAGGTACTATTTCGTAAATTTAGATTAAAAAAAAAAACAAAAAAGAGAAAACAGATTGACTTCGTGTCTGCATTCCATTTCGTCGCGTTCCTTCTGGCTGATGAAGAATCAAAAAGATTCCTGAACAACTTTCGAACCTGTTTTCCCGCTCGAGATTCGTCTTGTTTTTTGGCCCGGGGTCGTTCTCTGCGCGCACTGGATGAATCACTTATCAAAATTGAAATAAAGGTTTGATCGAAATAACAAACGGAATTTTCTAGAGCAACAAGTGGACGCGATTTTTCAAGGACCCAAGGATTTCTTCGGTGTCGTTTTTCGTTCTTCCTTGAATTCTTTTCTCACTGTGATTCGTGTTTGACAATTTTATTAAACCACGTCCTCGTTGGTTTCAGTACGCTTACTTCCCGTACGCAGCAATGACGGAAGTTGAAAAGAGAGAATATCACTTCAATGGCTATCCATCTCCAAACATCTCTAACCACATCTTATAGGATACGGTTTATATTTGTATCTCGGTTTGCTTCACTTCCTAGAGAAATGTTGATTATCATTAGAAACATGGTAAAGTACTTTATTACCTCACAAAAGAAGCTGAACTGTTGTTTAAACAGTAAGGTTATTTAACGTACTATTATCATACTGCATTTCATGTCCATTTATTGTTGTTTTATTAACGTCATTCTATGTTAATCTCTGCAATATTTCCACTTCACTCTACTTTATTCCATTCTTAATTCATTTCCGTTTCAAGTCCATTATTTCCCACTTCATTCACACTTCATCTCACATCATTCAACGATATTCCACTACATCGTAGAACAACAATGATTATTTTTAAGAATAAAAAAAGATATTGTTAAATTAATAATTGTTTTGCATTTTATTGCAATTCCTTCAAATATCTGGGAAAGATTCAACCGAGCATAGCCTTTACACAAGATGCATTGAAAATTGCAATGCATTGCTACGTGTTTATGTAGAATCAAAATGAAATTATAAATGCTATCTTGCACGTGATCGTCCCTAACCAACAACAGAAACTCAGTCGTCTCTTTAATCATTATTCGTTTAGCCGAATACAATCGAGAGAACCGTTTCACGCCGAGCAAAACATAATTGACTCGTGCGAATAAATTATAACCTATGCAAATATCGTGTGGCGTACAAACGCGGGTCACTCGATCACGATTGATAAGTTCTTAATTGCATCAATGTTATGACCGTGAGACTTATCGAAAATGTGCGTCTCATGGAACATGTATCACCATGAAGTATTCAAATATCGAATGCAATGAATAATACACGATACGCAGGTAAGTGCAAAATATTCGTTATCATTATGTAAAGAAATGCACCAAACAGCGCAATTACAGACATCACATATGTATTGATGGTTCGTGATAATTCCGAAAGGTAAAAATACAAACGTTAAATATGATCGTTCGTTTGAAATGGGAACATCTTAATTTTTGATAAGTTTTTATCAAAAGAAAAAAATGAAAAACAGTGTAGATGGTAATTTTCGGTATCGTAAACATTGACGTACAACGTGCTCTATATAGCCTGTGTGCGAAAAGGCGAACTGGTTCGGACAGCTGGCACGCTTCGTAAACAAAACATATATCAATGAAGCTCGAAGTTCCTCTTAAGAGGTGCGTGTGTAGACAGTATGAAAGGGGCAAAGAAGATTAAAAACGAAGCAGGATCGTTTCTTTTTCTTTTTTTTCTTCTTTCCTGATTCCGCGCGTTACGACAAACTTTTTTATCTGTGGAGCGTCGTACCTCGAACATCTGCGTAATCGAATGTATTTCGAAACGGGAAAGGTCACTTCGGACTGTCAAACAGGTTCATAATTTTTTAATGCAGACACAAATTAAAAGTTTCTAAGCAACGTCACTGATTATGCGCAAATCCCAAAATAAAAACTATTGCGTATATATTAAAAAAAATCATAAAAATTCAGGGTTTAACTTCATTTTTAAAAATCGACGATGTCGTCATCGTTGGAACTTGCGAGTTTAGAAAAAAAAATGGTGGGGCTATGTTCCTATACGCTTTTACGAATGATCGAACATTATATTTTTGTTATTTTTTGGAAAGAAAGTGGATTTATACTTTGTGATCGATAAAACGAGAGAAACCAGTTCAACCGTCGAAGGTGCTTACGTCCAAGGGAAATCACATTTGCAAATAACAAATACTTGATAGGTGCGTACGCATAAGATCACGTGGACGCGGGTACTATGAATCATTTACAATGTCCGTTTCGCAACGCGCCATCGAAAAGACCATAGGCTTCGTTTCCAAGAACACGAGTATTCTCGGGATGTTCCGCTCATTATCGTTCTCATCACATTCTAAACGCGTATTCGCAATTCTCTCGAGGTTGCCTAATTTATCTAAAAATTACCGTCTTGATAAGGATCGATCTATGTTTGATCATTAATTTGAATTCTGATCATTGAACATACCAACATCGAACGTTTTTGTATCTTTTTTATTTACAGGATACCGTAATGATTCTAATAGTGTTATAATGATCGCTATTTCCTGGATCATCATCAAACAAAGATATCCTTTTTGCATTGTCGAGGCATATGCTTGGACAGTCTTCGACCACAGTTCTTTAGTGTCGGATGCAAATATTTGTGAAAATTGTATTAGTTGAAAATATTAGAATTTTTATTGATTTCTAAGCGTAGGATATTTTTCGATGTTGTGAGATCAAAAAAAATATGTCAGATTTTTTTTTCTACTTGGAATTAATAGTTCGTTACAGTAGGTGGCGTTAAAAGAATTTTAATAGCACGTAAGTATTTGCGACCATCTTTTTCTATTCCACTCGATATATGTTCAATTGTAAGTCGAACGTGTTGCTTCCAAGAAATAAGGAAGGGTTTCCGCAAATGATTCAATTTCTTCCTTTTTTTCACTGCCCAGAAAATTGTAAATCGAGAATTCGTTTTTTTCGTTCAATGCACATAATTAATTACATGGGACTGCAACGCAATATCAAGAGTTATACACGAGAACTTGCCTAAATGATTCCATAAACAGACGCCGCGTCATCTTCGTGAGTTAAATAAGGATGCTAAATATCACCTATAAACGTATTCCTCCCGCATTTGTGCAACGTTTACAATAAATCTTTAGCATCAAACGTAGGATGAAATATTTATGAGCATCCATGAATGACTTTTACAAAGATAACAATTTAGATTTATTGTAAAAATTACCTTCAAAATGTTCATTGCAAAAAAATACGGAAAAAAATTGATGACTAGGAAACATGTTGACCGCATATTCAGGAATAAAGTGCTAAATACAATCACATATATTACGTCGTACTCTACAAATTGTTAATTGCAAAAGAAAATCGAAATTCTATAGCATCCTCGTGAAAG